GTTGCTCGTAATAAATGTTACTAAAATGTTACTAAATGAAAGAAAATATAAATCAACAAATGATTACGCGAGCTGGCCTGTTAGTTTTAAGGAAGTGAACAGATTACATTGCCAAGGAAATGGCCAATAAAGAACTGAGCCCAAGGAAATGACTTACGTGTCTCCGAGTTGGTGTGGCCTCAATCAAAGCCAAGGCTGCAAACAGCACAAGTAGAAATTTCAGCATCGTCTCCTTTGCAAACCTCTTTCCAAACCTGCGACAAATCGCCGAATGTAAGTTGTATAACCGGTCAATATTACTCAATACTGTGCTCAAACGCCGAAGAATTCTTCGTTCGATGAAAGACACGACATTTATCACACAGCCGCATATGTTTTGCAGGTAAGAGCACAAGTTTTTGCCCAAGGCAGACAGGTGTGGAGATATGAGAATGGGGTATTTAAGTGGAATATAAGAGGGATTATCCAAGACAATATTTGGCATAGCTACAAATAAACACAGCTAAATAACAATGTTGTTTCTGGAAATTAATCAATATTTAGACATTGGTGAAGCCCGTCAGTTTTATCACGCACAAGCCAGAAAAGTAATCTTTCCGAGCAGTGAGCTAAAAGTGAGACTATGTCGCTAATTATCAAGTTCTGCGCTAAGAGCATGGCAACTTGACGATAAATTAAGCAACGTCTGTCGCTGCTTAGTAATTTTCTTTGTTTATGTTTGAGCACCATGTAATTAAACGTGATCCGCTTCATCGTAAGAGGATCTCAAAGGTGTTAATAAACTTAAAAACATAGCCTAAATTCTATCCCAATGAGGAAATTGTCACCATTATGGAAAGTCGAGCGTCAAATATTTGACCATAATCAAGTCATTTGCACTACGTCTCGTCAAAAGACAGTCGCAACTGACCTTTAAAGTGAACATCACGATTAGAATAAATTGAGAGATTGATCAAAACTAATCGCTATCTCGATTCGTGTACAAACCTTCAAAGCCTCCACCCCAATGTCACGAAATTTTCTTATATAAAATTACTTTGAAATCCAAGAAAACTTAGCAGTAATATTCAAAGGTAACAAACGTCAAAGTGGTATTACTAACATAAGTCAGAGAAGAAAAGGCAAACCGAATAGATAAAATTTGAGAAGGTCGAACTTGCATTCAAAAATTAAGCTTAAAACTTCGGAGGGTAACCAATCCGTGACGTCATTTCCATGTTTACCTGATAACTGAGAATTGGTCAGAATTTTATCTGTTAGCTGAGAAACAAAGCGTTTTTAACTGATTAATGAGATCTGCAAAATTTACTGATAACTGAGACATGGGCTAAAATTAATTACTGATAACTGGAAAATCGCCGAAAATTTAAGTGATAGAAACATTTCGGCAGCCTCATCCAAATCCACTATTTGTATCCTGTCGAAAGCAAAAACTCGTATCTGGTTAGAGTGTTGCCTACAGCTTTTGCCGACATGGCATGTGTAATTCTGCCTAACAAGCTCAGTGGCTTTCAAACCTTGTATTCCAAACTATTTAAAGTGACGATGATCGACTGATGTTTTGAAATTTTCGGCAAGCGACACATTCTGCCTATTGAATGATTTCGAGGAATTCATTCTGATAGAGCACGCATTTCAAGCAAATGATGTCTGTCTCAACCTTTCTTCGAACTGAAAGTCAGTGAAGACTTACGAGTATGACCATAACTGAAATGTAAGAAGGTGAGGGTAGGCAATTTTGTCCAGTGTCTTAAAGTCAGTACCAGAATAGTAAGTTAACTGCCAAATAATTATGCCTGATACATCATGTCTTATAACTCTAATCGCGAACAAGGTAAAAACAATTCTTTCCCCGAGGAGAGACGGTTTGATGCAACAGCCACGATGACTATTGAAGAAAACAAGAGCGGTTAATTTTCCTTACTGCGTGGGCGAGACAACCAAATCACTTTGTTGTTTACTGTCAACTTGGTGCCGTATAGGCCGCTTTGTTTATCAGTGTCGGCTTTTTGTATAATACAATATTGTTTTATGCTTGATCTCTTACCGTTGCTAGATTTTTTTTTTCACTAAATTCTGCATTTCTCTTATCTTCGAAGCTTCCAGCATTTCATTTCAACATGTTTGTCTAGTTTGAAAACAGGAACTGAAGCTATAAACGCACAATATCTTCCAGGAAATAAGCCCTAACATGAACAATATTTGCCGGCACGCCGAGTGGACAAAAGATTGATACCCACACAACAAACACCCACTTAAGAGGAATTTTGCTTGCTGAGAACTAACGCCACATTTGTTTTTCCCGAAAAATAATTGTGGTTTCACTTTGATACCTAACTTAGCGACACAAAGAGAGGGAGCATTTCTTTTCGCCACAACTCATAACTGCGGTTTAATTTCCAACTTAGCGAGACAAAAACATTTTGCCGGCCGAAAATAACTGTGGTTTCACTGCACTTGGCTGGATAAAAGACTAGACTGTTGTTAACAAAAACAAGAAGATTTTATGATGTAAACAGAATGAAACAGTTTAATGATTTTCATGATCAAAGATACAAAGTCCACTGCTTTCAGAGTAACAACAGGGGTACCGACAGAGACCGCCTCTTGACCGAAAACACGTGAAAATAAGCGATCAGTTAACTCAACACATGCCGCAAACATTTTAATTAGCTATAAATCGAAAATGTCATATCTTCTTGAACACAGCATAAATCAGTTTTGCCGACATTTCAGTAAATTGTGTGGAAAGGGATATTCGACTTGTGCATTAGAAGATCAAGACAGAAGTCAGGAGTAATTTTTATCGACTTTTAGAGACAACACCCCATTAACAAGAAATAATTAACCGTTTAGATACTTCAGTTAAGTTTGTTTTGAGTTTCTGTCATGATATTGGATAGAAGGATAACGGAAATTATTCAACAGGATCTGTGATCGATATTTTTAATTACCTTTGTCGGAGTCGCACAAAAGCGAAAACGAATAAGCAAACAGACAAATTCCAATAAGTAAAATTTAACTTATATACCGTTAGAATAATTTAGATATCAGACCATATTTAGATGAAGCTGGTCCTTATATGTCACAGTTATAGCCCGTACATTGCTTTTAAGTTTTGTGTGACACGTATTCAAAGTGGATTTAATTGAAAAATCGATACATAAGGATAAAAGAGACGAATGCCCTTAACATGGCGAAGTCAGTATCATAAACAAGCTTAAGAAACACTGATTTCTTATGAAGAATAGATTCTTACGAAAAAAATCCATCTTGTCAGAAAAAAAAAAGGAAACTTAGGTGTCTCACATACCTCAAAAGCAAGCTGTTTTGGTAAATCGACCAATCTTCGCTCTCCGCGGTTTTTATCTCGTTCTGGCACTCTCTAAAGTTGATTTGAACTCTTACTCTTCACTGACGTAATGGCCTGAAATACTCAACAAACTACAAAATATACGCACTTATACAGATGGTACGCCATATCACGCCGAAATAAGAATGTCTGAAATTTTCAGAACAATACCACTCCTCGCGCTACATACAACGAGATAATAAATGGTTTGAGGTCAGCTGGCCGTGAAGGATAAATCAAATATTTTGGTCATTTGTAATATCATGCTTTTATGCCCGGTTTTATGTCACTTATATGTCTCATACTGTTCCGGGTTTGTTAAATANTTTTTTTTTTTTTTTTGACAATCACTAGATACAAACTGGGAACCTTTCAACAGTCAAAGTGTTGTGGACTCAACGTGCAACAAGCAAACTTGAGAGTAAAACACGAACTTTGTTTTTTTTTTTAGAATTCTCCAGAATGAAACTCAGGTGGAGCGAAGAAACATTACAATCTATGCAAATTATGTCAGGCATCTCTCGAGACTGAATAGTTATCAAAGACCAGTTATTACAAGAAACTGTTTCAAATTATCGCAAATTTGTCGTTAAATATTCCCGTTTCCTTTCGTTGTGGGAGGTGTTTTCACTGTATTCCTGTATCCGCCATGACATGCCAGTGGCTTCGTGGACGGGTATCCCGCAGGTTGATTCATTTTCACAAGTTTGTAGAGCCTACTGTGCGAATTAGCCGTTTTATCATAACTTGATGAGGTGAATAGATGCCCACGATGGATAAAAAACATTTCAGAAATAACTGAGATATGTTCGATACTCGCTTAGCGTGTTTATGACCCAAGTTTCATTGATTTATCTATATATGTAATTGCAGATAACGATTAACTGCGAAATTTTCCCTTTTTAAAAAGACAAATAATTAGTGAT